AAGACCAGGTAATAGAATAGGAGAAGTTGAAAACAGGCTGTCAGAAGTTGAAGAATTAACCAACCAAAGATACTGAAAGAACATTATGAGCTAAAAGATTAAACCTATGAATTATGGGGACAGACGAGGAAGAAGAAATATAAGCCAGAGGCACTGAGAACTATTCGATAACATAATGGCAGAAAACCTTGAGAAAGAGAGGGCCATCTGTGTGACAGGCTTACACAGCTCCAAACAGACAAATTTTAAAGAAGAAACATCCTTAGGCACCTTATAGTAAAAATATCAAATGTTTAGAACAAGGAGAGAATATTGAAAGCTGAAACAGAAAAGAAACAAATAAAGGTCCACTAGAATAACAGCAGAATAACAGCAACACTAAATGCAGGTAGAGCATGGAAAGATATAATTCAAGCCCTGAAAAACAATTGCCAACCTAGATGACTGTATTTGATAGGAAACTAAAAACTTTTTATGATAAAAAGTAAAGGAATTCAGCCCTTGGAATTAAACTAGAGAGAAACTGCAAAAGGTACTACAGAAAATACTCAGACACATTGAGACAAAAACCAAACAAAACATGGTCAACATGGGGGTTTTGAAGGAATAGAGAAAAATTTTTCTGGAAATTAATAAAAGTGAAAACACACTACTTGAACCTCCGAGGTACAGCAAAGGCAGTGTCAGGAGAAAAATTTATAGTCATGAGTGTCTATATCAAAAAACTAGAAAACGGGGCTGGGAAGGTGATTCACTTCTGTCATCCTAGCTACTCAGGAGGCTGAGATCTCAAGATCGTGGTTCAAAGCCAGCACAGGCAGGAAAGTCCATGAGACTTTTATCTCTAATTAATCACTAAAAAGCCTCAAGTGGAGGTGTGGCTCATGTGGCAGAGTACCAACCTTGAGTGAAAAGCCAAGGAAGAACACACGGCCCTAACTTCAAGCCCCAGTCCCCTCATAATTTTTTTTAAATTCTCATTCATTGTTGGTGGGGCACAGCTACACGGTATCATGTCTTAAATTGTTCTGAAAGAATTGTGGTGTAAATTACCCAGCTTCTTTTTTTGGGGGGACGGTCCTGTTGTGGGGCCTGAACTCGGCCTGGGCGCTGTCCCTCAGCTCTTCAGCTCAAGGCTAGCGCTCTACCACTTGAGCCACAGCGCCACTTTCGGCTTTTTTCTTTTTGCTTATGTGGTGCTGAGCAATCGAACCCAGGGCCTCATGCATGCAAGGCATGCGCTCTACCACTGAGCCACCTTCCCAGCCCAATTACCCACCTTCTTGACCACCTTCTCCTGGGGTTGGTCATTTGTTTCTTTTTGCTTTTTGTTGGTCATGGGCTTGAATTGGTCTGGGCGCTGTCCCTCAGCTCTTCAGCTCAAGGCAAGCACTCTACCACTTGAGCCACGGCGCCACTTCTGGTTTTCTGGTGGCTAATTGGAGATAGTCTCATGGACTTTTCTGCCTGGGCTGGGTTTGAACCACTATTCTCAGATCTCAGCCTCCTGAGTAGCTAGGGTTACAGGTGTGAGCCACCAGCACTCGGCTTGCTTGCTTGCTTTTTTTTGTTTTATTTTGTTTTTGGTCAGTCATGGGGCTTGAACTCTGGGCTTGGGTGCTGTCCCTCAGCAATTCAGCTCAAGGCAAGTACTCTACCACTTGAGCCACAGTGCCACTTCCGGTTTTCTAGTGACTAATTGGAGATAAGAGTCTCATGGACTTGGGGCTGGGAAGATGGCTCAGTGGTAGAGCGCTTGCCTTGCATGCCTGAGGCCCTGGGTTCGATTCCTTAGCACCACATAAGCAAAAAGAAAAAAGCCTGGTGCTGTGGTCAAGTGTTAGAGTTCTAGCCTTGAGCTGAAGTGCTGAGGGACAGTGCCCAGGCCCAGAGTTCAAGCCCCACAACTGGACCCCCCCCCCCAAAAAAAAAGTCTCATTGACTTTCCTGCCTGGGCTGGCTTTGAACCGTGATCCTCAGATCTCAGCCTCCTGAGTAGCCAGGATTACAGGTGTGAGCTACCGGTGCCAGACATTTTTCTTTTCTTTTTTTTTAAATCCAGTATTAGGGTTTGAACTCAGTGCCTCTAGCTTTCTGGGCCAGTACTCGACCACATAAGCCACACCTCTGCTTCCAGCTTTTTGCTAGTTTATTAGCAAGGTCTCAAGGACTTTTCTGCCAGGAAGGCTTTGACCTCCATCCTCCAAATCTCAGCCCCTTGAGTAGCCAGGATTACAGGTATAAACTGAATTACTGGCACCTGGCAGGACAAACCATTTATCTCTTTTCACACCAATCCCCAGACCCATACCTGGCTCACAATGCGATTTCAAATGCTGTAAGTTTTTGTTAAGTGAGCTGTGCACCAGTGGCTCATTCCTATAATCCTAGCTGCTCAGGTGTCAGAGATCTGAGAATACTAGTCCCAAATCAGCCTGGGCAGATGAATTGTCCAGACTTGTATCTCCAGTTAACCACAAAAAAAGCTAGAAATGTATGTATGGCTCAAGTGGAATTGCCAGCTGTAAATAAATAAAGCCAAGGGTACCTGCACATGGAGGAAGAAATTCTTTGGTAAATGCATGTGGGACCATGGGGAACCCTCCTTGAGGAAGTTTAACAATTGCATTAAGCATAGAAGGGATGGCACACAATTTGTCTTTTTTTCTTTTTCTTTTCAGTGGCACTGGTGTTTGAACTCAATCCCATTTGCTTTTTTAGGCAGGCAGGCCTGCCACCACCTGAGCCATGCCCCCAACCCAGCAAATTTGTTTTGTTTTCTCAGCATCCCCCCAGAGGCTTAGCATCTAGGACCAGGGAAGGGCAGAGGGCAGGAAGCCCTCTGTCCTCTCTCACCACCCCGGAGGAGCCTTTGGAGGCCCAGGTCTGACCTGATGCAAGTCTGGTCCAGTGTAGGATTTCCTCTCTGCAGCATCTTGTTAGGAGTTTTCCTGTTACCTCAACAGCTATACTGAGATCTCCCACAGCCTAGACTGCTTACTTCATTTGATTGACAGCTCTTTTGTTAGAAATGTTAATTTGTGTTTAATGCTTTCTATCTTAGGAAGGAATTCAAAAATGCCATTAAAAAATAACACAAAGCAAAACAAGATATAAGGCTGGGCATGATAGTACACGTCTGTAACCCAGATCTGCGAGGGAGTCAGAGATAGAGGAGACGGCAGGGTCGTGTCTGAAGTCACCTCAACCAAACCCTGAGATCCTATCTGAAAAACAGGTTAAAAGCCAGAGGACCTCGGTGTGGCTCCCGTCGTAAAGCACTTTCCTACGAAGCCTTGAATCCAAACCCCATGCCACCAAGTCAGTAAGTGCAGAAACAATAAAAACTAGCTTCTCTGCACTAAGCGTATTGGCATAGAATGTCTGTCTACCTCAAGGGCAGAGGACAGACAGCCTTGTGAGTGCTCTGATGACTGAGTAGTACTGTTGCACTCATTCCCCCCAGGTCCTGTCCTCCCCTGAGGAGGGCTGGTCTGTCCCCTGAGGAGGGCTGGTCTGTCCCCTGAGGAGGGCTGGTCTGTCCCCTGAGGAGGGCTGGTCTATCCCGAGGAGGGGTGGTCTGTCCTCTTCTGAGGAGGGCTGGTCTGTCCCCTGAGGAGGGCTGGTCTGTCCCGAGGAGGGCTGGTCTGCCCTCTTCTGAGGAGGGCTGGTCTGTCCCCTGAGGAGGGCTGGTCTGTCCTCTTCTGAGGAGGGCTGGTCTGTCCCCTGAGGAGGGCTGGTCTGTCCCCTGAGGAGGGCTGGTCTGGGTCACATCCTCCCCTGAGGATTCTGGCTCTGCTGGTCCACATGATAGACTGGACAAGTGCGGGCCGGGCTGCAGGGCTCAGAGCTCGGCAGATGGCACAGTCAGGGCTGGACAACAACCTGCTTCCCACCGTGACTCTCTCCCTCTCTGCTCCCTCTCTCCTTCCCTCTCCCTCTCTCCCCCTCTTCCCCTACCTCCTCCTCCTCCTCCTCCTCCTCCTCCTCCTCCTCCTCTTTCTCTCTCTGTCTCTCTCTCTCTCAGTGCTGGGCTTGAACTCGGGGCCTGGGCGCTGTCCCTTGACTTTTACTACTCAGGCAGGTGATCCACCATTTGAACCGTAGCTCCACTTCCGGCCTTTGGGTGGCTGACTACGGATAAGTCTCATGGACTTCCTGCTTGGGCTGGCTTCGAACCACGATCCTCAGGCGACAGGCCCCGCCCCGCCCGCGTGGGGAGCAAGGCCGCGCGGGCCTGCGCCCGGGTGCCTGGGGCCGCAGGGGGCGGCTCGTCCGCACCGCGAGGACAGCGTTGGGTCCGGGCGTGGCTGCGGAGCGAGCGCGGCGCGGGAGGCGCGCGGCGGGGCGGGGCGGGGCGGGCGCGGCGGGGGAAGAGGAGGGGGAGCCCGGCGAGAGGGGAGCGGGGCGGGGAGGACGGGGCGGGGCTCTGGGAGGAGCGGGGCTCTGGGCGGGCAGGGGCGAGTCTAGGGAGGGGCGGAGCCAGGAGTGGTCTCGGGGCCTGAGGGGCGGGGCTCTGGGCGGGCAGGGGCGTGTCTAGGGAGGGGCGGAGCCAGGAGTGGTCTCGGGGCCTGAGGGGCGGGGCTCTGGGCGGGCAGGGGCGAGTCTAGGGAGGGGCGGAGCCAGGAGTGGTCTCGGGGCCTGAGGGGCGGGGCTCTGGGCGGGCAGGGGCGAGTCTAGGGAGGGGCGGAGCCAGGAGTGGTCTCGGGGCCTGAGGGGCGGGGCACTGGGCGGGGCGGATCCCGAGAGGGGGTGGGTTTGTGGGCGGGGACAGTGGCAGAGCTCTGTAGGGGCGGAGCCAGGCGGCACCGTGGGGAGGGGCGGAGCTCGAGGAGGGGCGGGGAAGGGGCGGCCCCGGGGCGGGTCCGCCCGCACTTCGTCTGCCTGTCGCCTCCGCTGCGCTGTTCGCGCTCCGGCCCCTCCGGAGCCGCCGCGCGGCCGCGGGCGAAACAACTTTGCGCGCGCCGAGACCGGCCGGACCCGGACCCGTCCCGCGCGGAGCCCGCCCGGCCATGGACGTGCGGGGCTGCCTGCTGGCCCCGCTTCTGCTGCTGTGCGCGCTGCCGCACCGGGGCGCCAGGTGAGCGGGTGGCGGGGTCGGGGCGCCGCGGGGCGGGCGGGAGCCCACGAGCTTCCCGCGCCCTCCGGCCCGGGTCCGTCGGGGCCACCCGCGGGCGCCTCTCCCAGCTCGCCGCGCTGCCGGCGGCTGCGGGACCCGCGGTCGGGTTCGCGCCGCCCGGGTGCTGTCCGCGGGGCCCGGTGCTGAACGCTCGGGCGCCCCGGGGGCCCTCCGCTCCCGAGGCGGCCCTGTGCCCGGTGCGGGGTGCGGGCAGAGGGGGGCCGGCCCTCGTCCCGGGGTGCAGGCGGGTGGGGGCGGCCCTCGTCCCGGGGTGCGAGGTGCGGGCGGGCGGGGGGGGGCGGCCCTCGTCCCGGGGTGGGGTGCGGGCAGAGGGGATCTGGCCCTCGTCCCGGGGTGCGAGGTGCGGGCGGGGGGATCGGCCCTTGTCCTGGGGTGCGGGGTGCGGGCAGAGGGGGTCTGGCCCTCGTCCCTGGGTGCGGGGTGCGGGCAGAGGGGGGGGGGCCCTCGTCCCGGGGTGCGGTTTCTGGGCCGGGCGGAGGGGGGGCTGGCCCTCGTCCTGGGGTGCGGGCAGAGGGGGCCGGCCCTCGTCCCGGGGTGCGAGGTGCGGGCGGGGGGATAGGCCCTTGTCCTGGGGTGCAGGGTGCGGGCAGAGGGGGGCGGCCCTCGTCTCGGGGTGGGGTGCGGGCAGAGGGGGTCTGGCCCTCGTCCGGGGGTGCGGTTTCTGGGCCAGGCGGTGAGGGGGGGCTGGCCCTCGTCCTGGGGTGTGGGCCGGGCGGGGGGGGGGGGGCGGTGGCCCTCGTCCCGGGTCTCCTTTCTGGGCCGGTTTCCAGCTCCATGGACTCAAATCCTGAGCACCCCCTTGGCAGCTGCGCCTCTGGGGCAGAAAGCGCCGGAGCATTTCTGGGGGCCTGTTGGGGGAAGCGGTCCTGCTCCCCAGAGAGGGTCCCCCTTCCCTCCTTCCCTGCCTACCCCCTTCCCTCCCTCCCTCCCCCCCTGCCTCTAGGATCTGAGCCCACCAGGGCATCTTGGGTCTCTGCGGGGAGCCCAGCTACCTGCCCAGTAAGGAGGCCACACATAAACAGCCCAGCACTCTGGGCTTTTGGGGGGGGCAATGGAATGGCCACTGGCACTCAGAGGCATGTGATGGGAGGTGGCAGAGTTTCCCTGTGGGTGGACGGAGACAGCCCCAGAGGCCTGGGCTGAGCTGGAGGTATGACTGACTGACGTTCTGGAGACCACAGAATGGGTACTGACTATGAGTCTCTGTCAGTCACTGTCCAGGTGGAGCTTTGTCCTCTCCACAGTGACCCTGCCCCACAAGCCTTTCCCTTTTCTCCTCTCCCTACTTGAAGTGACATGGGGTGTTACTGCTGGCTTGGGCGCCGGGGTTCCGCTCCCAGCTACCAGCCCAGCTCAGGGTCACGAAGCCAAGAGTCTGAAATCCCAAAGGCTCTGAGACCTCCAAGTTTTAGCCTGAGTTTGCCACCCAAACTCATATGGCAGCTGTATGAGTTTGCAGCCTTTGTTATATGAATATGAGGCTCCTGTTCTGTTTATTTATTCTATTTATAGCTTTTCTGCTGGGAAGTTCTCCAGACACCACCCCCCTTCCTGACACATCCCCCTGCCCCAAATCCAGAAGTTTTACTCTGACTTGAGAGGGGCTCTTGGCTGAGGAAAGGGATGTATCCCTGTTTACCTGGCCTGGCCTGGCCTGGCTGGCCTGGGGCACTTCGTGTCCTTCCCAGCCTGCAGGGGAGGGGCACCCTGCATGGCAGCAGATGCTATTGCCCAACTAAGCTCCTGTCTTGTTGTCTAATGGAAAGTAGTTACCAGTCTTGCCACATCTTAAAGTTTGTTTTCTAGGTGTGATTTCACCAAGCCTGGCATGGTGTAGCATGCAGCAGGGCTGAAGGCAGTGGCTGAGGACTGGCTGCTCGCTCAGCCCTTGTGGTGACCTTCAGATCCAGCTTGGTGCTGTTTGCTCAGGGCCTCTTCCGTCAGCTGTCCCTCCTTCTTCAGCCTCTAGGTCCTTGTTCTTGGAGTGGCGTTAGGGGACAGTTGGACCGTTCTGGCTGTCACCGTTTAGTCTGAATCCAGTGGTTCGTGCTGAGGAAGGTTTGGGTAAGAGAGGGCACATGTGTGCTGCACTGGTAGTTGGGCCCCACGCAAGAAGACCTGCGCAGGCAGCGGGCCTTGAGCCCGCCGGCTGCACCGCACGCGTGTGGGTGTCCCTCCAGCCTGCTGGCACCTCCGTCTCCCTGGAGCTCGCGGTACGATGGTCGCAAGCTCCTCTTTGCCTTGGTAACTGGGATGCTAGCGAGGTTCGTGTTGCTCTAAAAGCAGAGCTGTCGGGATCCGTGGGCTTGTGTGTGCACGGTGCATGGATCCTACAGGGAGGGGCATCCTGCTGCCTCCATTGGCTGCACCCCCCTTCCCGGTCTGTCCCCAAGGGCACAGACAAACGGTTGCTTCTCGGTGGGGCCAGGAGCAGGGGGCGGCCTGAACATATGCCGAGAGCAGCCAGGGCAGCAGCTGATGTGTTCACAGTGCCTGCTCTCCTTATGTGTCTGAATTTCTAAACTCCAGTGTAGGCCTGTAGCCTGGCATGTGTCTCGCTCCACCCATCCAAGGGATGTTCCAACCCTGGGTTCACCTCTGGGTTCTAAGGCACTAGAGGAGGCAGCAGGCCTCTGCCAAGATCTTCCTGGCTTACCAGTCCAAGTGGAGGCCTTCCCGCAGCATGTGTCAACTTTGAATGCCCGGTGCAACCTGGTCCAGGCAGGGAGGGGCTCTGGTAGGGGGTGTGTTTCCCCTTACCCTGGCCCTCCACAGCTGCCCACAGCCAGGAAAACTGGCCAACAACTGCCCAGGGAAAGAAGTGAGACCAAGAGGGTCCTGGAGGAGCTTCCTGAGGCTTAACCCTAAGCAGGCCTGGGACTGGGGCAGAAGAGAGGCGCAGACAGACCGTCGCCTGAGGTGGGTGCGGGGTGTGTCCCAGGAAGGATAGCGTCTTCTCATTGCCTCGTTCCAGGCTGGCTAGTCCAAAAATAAAGCCCAATTCAAGTTCCTTTACATCCGCCCTTCAGGGTGACTTCCACTTGCTTTTTTTTTTTTTTAATGTGTCAGTCCTGGGGCTTGAACTCAGTGCCTGTCCCTGAAAACTGTCCCTGAGCTTTGTTTGCTCAAGGCCAGGGATCTACCACTTGAGCTCAGCTCCACATCTGGATTTTTGGTGGCTAAATGGAGATAAGAGTCTCACAGACCTTCCTGCCCGGCTGGCTTTGAACCATGATCCCCTCCTCCTGCCTTCTTTCCTTTCCTCCCTCCCTCCTGCCTTCTTTCCCTCCCTCCCTCCCCCCTTCCTTCCTTCCTTCTTTTCCCTTCCTTCCTTCCTTCCTTCCTTCCTTCCTTCCTTCCTTCCTTCCTTCCTTCCTTCCTTCTTCCTCCCCTCTTTTCTGTACTGGTATTTGAGCTCAGGCCTTCACATTTGCTAGCTCTACCACTTGAGCCAAATCCCCAGTACTTTTTTTTCTTCTTCCCTATTTTTCAGGTAGTCTCATGTTTTTTGCCCAGGTCTGGCCTTAGACCTGGATCACCAGTACCTCACACCAAGCCTGTTTTATTGAATTTGTGTGTGTGTGTGTGTGTGTGTGTGTGTGTGTGTGTTACTGAGATTTGATATCAGGGCCTCACATTGATAGGCCCTGTGTTGGGTTTTTTTTTTATTACTTTTTTTTTTTTTGTCAGTTGTGGGGCTTGAACTCTGGGCCTGGACGCTGTCCCTCAGCTCTTCAGCTCAAGGCGAGCGCTCTACCACTTGAGCCACAGCACCACTTCTAGTTTTCTGGTGATTTATTGGAGATAAGAGTCTCATGGACTTTCCTGTCCGGGCTGGCTTTGAACTGTGATCCTCAGATCTTAGCCTCCTGAGAAGCTGGGATTACAGGTGTGAGCCACCAGCACCCAGCTGTGTTGGTTATTAATTTTTTATTGTTATTACAAAGGTAATGTACAAAAGGGTTATAGTTACATAAGTCAGGTAATGAGTACCTTCCTTCCTTCCTTTCTTTCTTTTTTTTTTTTTGTTAGTCATGGGGCCTAAACTCTCGGCCTGGGCGCTGTCCCTCAGCTCTTCAGCTCAAAGCTAGTGCTCTACCACTTGAGCCATAGCACCACTTCCAGCTTTTTCTGCTTATGTGGTGCTGAGGAATTGAACCCAGGGCCTCATGCATGCAAGGCGAGCACTCTACCACTAAGCCACCTTCCCAGCCCCATGAATACATTTCTTTTTGGACAATGTCATCCTTCCCTTTCTCTCTCTCAGTTTTTCCCTCCTATCCCCGCATACAGTTCACAGTTCATTTTCAAAATAGTGTCCAGTGAGTACCACCGCTGTGTTGGTTCACCCTCTATTTTGTGTTGATTATTTTGAGACGAGATCTTGCTTTATGCCCAAGCAGGCCTGGACTGAGAGCCTCTTGTCTGTGTTTCTGTGAACTGCCGGGTGACAGGAATATGCCACTTTCCCTGCCATTGGTCCAGATGGAGTCCCATGGACTATTTGGCTCTGATTGGTCTCAGGCTATGATCCCCTGGTATCAATCTTCCAAATAGCTAGGATTATAAGTTTGAGCTACTATGCCTGACTTGAGAACTTTTTGGGGGAGGGGGAGGCCAGGACTACTCTGGATTGGCCTTGAACGGCATTCTTCCCACTCTCTACCTTCTAAGTAGTTGGGATCACAGGCATGAGCCACAAGGCCTGAGCTCTACCAACCCTCACACTTCTTTTCTCCCAAGCCACCTCCTGGGGAAGCGTTGCAGAAGTCGAGAGGGAGGCGGTGGTGGATCTCTGATTCTTCTTTGGGGAAGGAACCTTGGTGGTGAGGCCATAGGGAGGCGCTCGGGCCTCTGTGTTGTCCTTTCTGCGTGTGAAGGAAGCAGACTGTGTGTAGGCTGGGCCTGGGGTCGGATAGCGAGGACAGGGGCCTGGGCAGCCTCCCGCTCAGGCCAGGTGGGCAGTCAAGGCTGAGCAGACTGAGTAGGAGAGCCCAGGACCTCCGGAGAGCTGGCACCTGGTCCTTCCTGCAGTCCTGGCCTTGGTGCCAAGGGCAACGCCCGTCCCAGGAGGGGACCAAGCTCAGAGACCGGTGCCCGCCCGTCCACAGCCAGATGGCCTTTTGTTCCAGAGCCATGAACGACATTGGGGACTACGTGGCCTCCAACCTGGAGATATCCTGGCTCCCCAACCTGGATGGCCTAATAGAGGGCTATGCCCGCAACTTCCGGCCTGGCATTGGAGGTGAGGGGCTAGGGGCATGGTCAGGCGGGGATGGCTCCACACCTGGGTGGCTGTTGGCTAGCAAAGAGCTGGGATCTTCCCCAGGGCCCCACAGGAAGGGGAGCTCTTCTATCCATGGTGGTGAATGTGCTCCCACCCCAGGCTCCCTGCGGAGCCCGGCCAGCTGGTGGTTTTCTTGTGTCTACCTCCCTGGGTTTGAGTGGACAGCCTGGCCCGGCCCGGAAGGGGTGCCGGGCCGGGACCCCTGCATGCTGGCGTCAGTCCTTCCACCCTGGTGTGTCTTGCAGGACCCCCTGTGAATGTGGCACTTGCCCTGGAAGTAGCCAGCATCGACCACATCTCAGAGGCGAACATGGTAGGTGGTGATGAGCACCTCCCAGGGCTGTGTGCCCGGGGTAGAAGGAGGCCTGCCTACTGCCCACACCGACCCCTCGCTCACAGGAGTACACCATGACCGTGTTCCTGCACCAGAGCTGGCGAGATGGCAGGCTCTCCTACAACCACACCAACGAGACCCTGGGCCTGGACAGCCGCTTTGTGGACAAGCTGTGGCTCCCGGACACCTTCATCGTGAATGCCAAGTCAGCCTGGTTCCATGATGTGACCGTGGAAAACAAGCTGATCCGGCTGCAGCCGGACGGGGTAATCCTGTACAGCATCCGGTGAGCCCACACCCAAGCCCAGCAGGGCCTTCCTCCACCTTCCCTCCACCCCCTGCATCCGCTGGGAGCTGGGGTAGGCGGATGGAGGCTTCAGCGTTAATCACGCACTCCAGCTCCCAGCTTAGCAGACCTTGTCCACAGAAAGACAACAGAGTCTGCGTATTGGCCAGACCAGCACCTTTTTGTTTTTTAGATGGTGTTATGTTCCTGTCACATGGATTCAGTATTTAAAAAAGAATAGTTCCATGAATTTAGTGCATAGACCATGTACTACCATGGCCTTTAGTTCCAAGGTATCACCCCAAAAACAAGCCTTGCTTTATGGGGTGCAGACACACACGCACGCGTGCACACACACACACACCCCGGTCAGGCAGTCACGCCTCACTTCCTGTCCTTGACAGCCCTGACCACTGCCAATCCACTTCCTCCTCCTCCTCCTCAGATCCCCGTTCTGGGCACTCCACACAAAGTGGGTCATGCCTGCCATGTGTCTAGCATCTTCCGACAACACCACCCGCTCCAGACCCGTCTGTGGTGTGGCCTGTGTCTGAGCTTTCTTCCTTCTCACAGCTGGTTAACATGTCATCCCCTGGATGGGTCAGGTTTTGTTCATCTGTTCATCTGTGGACAGTTGAATAACAGTGCTGTGGGTTGGGAAGGTGGCTCCGTGGTAGAGCGCTTGCCTTATATGCATGAGGCCCTGCGTTCGATTCCTCAGCACCACATAAGCAGAAAAAGCTGGAAGTGATGCTGTGGCTCAAGTGGTAGAGCGCTCGCCTTGAGCTGAAGAGCTGAGGGACAGCACCCAGGCCCAGAGTTCAGGCTCTATGACTGATTAAAAAAAAAAAACATTGCTGTGAACATACAGGTATAAACAAACCAACAAATATTTGAACACTTGTTTTTCAAACACGTGTCTTTTTTTTCTTTTTTTTTTTTGCCAGTCCTGGGGCTTGAACTCTGGGCCTGGGCGCTGTCCCTGAGGCGCCACTTCTGGTTTTCTGGTGGTTTACTAGAGATAAGAGTCTCACGGACTTTCCTGCTTGGGCTGGCTTTGAACCTCGATCCTCAGATCTCAGCCTCCTGAGTAGCTAGGATTAGGGGCATGAGCCACCGGCGCCAGGTTTCCCTGAGCTTCTTTAGTTCGAGGCTAGTACTCTACCACTTGAACCAAAGTGCCACTTCTGGCTTTTTCTGTTTATGTGGTACTGAGAGTCAAAGCCAGGGCTTTATGCATGCTAGGCCAGCACTCTACTACTAAGCCACATTCCCAGACCCAACACGTGCCTTTTAGAGCTAATTGCCAACATTCTAAGAATCAGATTTTACACCAATATCTAAAAGTCTGACCTCTCCTGGAAAATGGAAGCCCGGGGCCACCTTGCGCCTGTCCCAAGCTGGCCCCTGCCCTGAACTTAAACAGCCACATATCTGCAAGGATGAGAGATGGGATGAAACCCAGTCCAAAGGAACAGCCACAGATAACTGTAAAGTTTGCAATTTTTCTCCAGTGCCTGACAGCTTACAAACTGCCCAAACTGCCCAAGGGGCAGTAGGGCCGGAGGTACCCCGGCTCTTAGTGGCTCCTAGGGCAGGGACATCGCCCCCTGCTGGGGGGAGGGTACCTGCCAGCCTCCAGAGGCTCCTGGCCTGACTGGATGCTTGGTCTGGGCAGAATCACCTCCACAGTAGCCTGCGACATGGACCTCGCCAAGTACCCGATGGATGAGCAGGAGTGCATGCTGGACCTGGAGAGCTGTGAGTGGCCCCCAGGAGGTCCTCTGTGGGCGGGCTGTGCCGCCCCGCCACTGTGCAAGGGGCTCAGAAGTAACTCCCAGAGGGGCTGGGAAGGTGGCTCAGTGGTAGAGCGCTTGCCTTGCATGCATGAAGCCCTGGGTTCGATTCCTCAGCACCACATAAGCAGAAAACGCTGGAAGTGGTACTTGGCTCCAGTGGTAGAGCGCTAGCCTTGAGCTGAAGAGCTGAAGGACAGCGCCCAGGCCCAGAGTTCAGGCCCCATGACCGGCAAAAAAAAAAAAAGTAACTGCCAGAGCCCTGCGGCAGCCCAGGGCGCAGACGAGGCTAGCCGAGCATAGAGCCCGGGCAGGAGCCGGGGCTGGAGGGCCTGGGGCAGCCTCGGCCTGGCCCATGGCCTGGGGCCTGTGAGATGGGGCCAGGCAGATCCAGCAGTGCAGAAGTGCCGCTCGTGTGGCTGTGCGCCCCCCAACAGGCCTGGCCCTCGGTTTGCCAGCCCTTCTGGCCCTGGCCGAGGTGTGGGGCGTGGTCCCAGAGCCGAGGCCCCCTGACCTGCCTGGACCGCCCTGGGAGCTGCTGGGCTGGCCTGTCTACTGTCCCCCTGCGGCTTCCCCTTCCCTGCAGACGGCTACTCTTCGGAAGACATCGTCTACTACTGGTCGGAAAACCAGGAGCGGATCCACGGGTTGGACAGGCTGCAGCTGGCCCAGTTCACCATCACCAGCTACCGCTTTACCACCGAGCTGATGAATTTCAAATCAGGTAACCAAATCAGAGTTAGCCTTGCCCAGCCTGCTCTGAGGGCCCACAGAAGCCTGGAGAAGACTGCTGAGTTAGGTGCTAAGTGGCAGGTTCTCTACCCTCTTCTTCCTCCTTGGTGCCTTCGTTCTCCTCAGTTCTTGGGCTTAGGGAGGATGATGTGTGTGTGTGTGTATGTGTGTGCACGCACGTGTGCGCACTCGTGTACGTGTGTTGGGAGCCTCTTTGTTCCCCAGCTACCCCATTCTATAACATGGCGTAGACAGAGGAGGGGTCTCCCGGGGGAGGCAAGCCCTCCACCAGTAGCTAGGAGACCCCGTGGGCAGCAGCGGGGGTTGGGGTCTCTTTCCTCTTCTTTCCCCAGTGGCCCTGTGGCAGGGCTAGCCTCCCCTGTGGACAGATCTGGCACAGGAGGACCTGACTCCACCCCGTGTGGGGCAGGCAGGAAAGCTGCATGCTAGGGCCTCCCTTCCGCGCCTCACCATAGGCCCAGGTGCCGGCGAGGCCCCTGTGCTGGGCATGGGGGGTGGAGGCTGGCCGGACTGCACTGTCCCCACAGCTGGCCAGTTCCCCCGGCTCAGCCTGCACTTCCACCTGCGGCGAAACCGCGGAGTCTACATCATCCAGTCCTACATGCCCTCTGTCCTCCTGGTGGCCATGTCCTGGGTCTCTTTCTGGATTAGCCAGGCTGCCGTGCCTGCCAGGGTGTCTTTAGGTATGGGTGGGGGCTGGCCTGTCCTCGGGGGGAGGAGCGGGAGAAGGGCTGTGGGGGAGTGGGAGCGGGGGAGGGGGGCAGAGTGCCCTGTGAGCTGTAAGCCGTCTGTCCTGGCCCCAAAGGTCAGCTTGTCCTGGTGTTGGTCAGATGCGGAGGGCTCTCCTTGTCTGGAACCCGGGTCCTGCTGATCTGGGGGCAAGAGGGGCGGGAGGGCTCCAGCAACAACCACTGTGTCCACTGCGGCCACAGGCATCACCACCGTGCTGACGATGACCACGCTCATGGTCAGCGCCCGGTCCTCCCTGCCGCGGGCCTCGGCCATCAAGGCGCTGGACGTGTACTTCTGGATCTGCTACGTGTTCGTGTTTGCCGCCCTGGTGGAGTATGCCTTTGCCCACTTCAATGCGGACTACAGGAAGAAGCGGAAGGCCAAGGTCAAGGTCACGAAGCCGAGGACCGAGGTGAGGAGGGGGTGGGTGGCTGGGTCCAGACCCAAGGATAGACTCCCACCAGGCAAGGCTGGGGCCCACCAAGCCCCTTTCCTGACCCCTGGGCTGCAGGGAATGGCCCTGGGGGTGGAGGGGGAGGGAAGGGACGGTTCTTGCATGGGTGCTTGGTCAGCAAGAGTCCCGAGGCCAGGGCTCAGTCCTGTCTCCTCACTGCAGGTGGACGTGAGAAACGCCATTGTCCTCTTCTCCCTCTCGGCCGCCGGGGTCACGCAGGAGCTGGCTGTTTTGCGCGGGCCGTGTCGTGTGTCCGGGAACCTCATGGGCTCCTACAGGTCTGTGGAAGTGGAGACGGGGGAGCTGAAGAAGGGGGGCGGGGCCCGCCCCGGGGGCCTGCGTGCCAGACTCAAGCCCATTGACGCAGACACCATCGACATCTACGCGCGTGCGGTGTTTCCTGCGGCCTTCGCAGCTGTCAACGTCATCTACTGGGCGGCGTACACCATGTGAGGGCGCCATGCCCCCCCCTGCACCCACCCTGCTGCCAGGGCGGCTCCTGCCAGAGCGGGAGCCCTCTGGGTGTTCCAAAGCAGGGTGACAGTGACACCCCATGGAACACGCAGAGGCCTGGGCCTCCTTCAGCTTCACCCCGGCCCCTTGGAAGACCAGCTTCTGATTCCTACTGACTGAGAAGGCTGGCCACGGACATGGGGCAGAGCCAGCAGACCCGGGCCCAGGGGGCATGAGCGGCTTCCTTGGGGAGCTATGAATCTTCAGACTTGGATTGATCCTGGTTTCTAGGCCTTCTCTGGGGGGAGGGCCTGAGGGCCTCTTACTGTAGAGTATGGAGAAGGGTAGTGCCAGGCCTCTGGTCCCAGCATGAAATAAAGCCTTGAACCGGCTGCAGGTGGCAATCTCTGTTACAGTACTGCTCCGGGTCCTGGCTCTGGGAATGCTCAAGACCTCCCTGAGACCACTTGGGGGTGAATTTGTAGCTAGTGCAGGAGATCTGCATGGTCAGGAGCAGAGGAGCAGAGCCGGGCTTGGGAAGGAGCGGAGCCAGCCTCAGCTGCTGATGCCGCTCCTTGGTACCTTCTCACCCCTGAGATCCAGTGGGACATTTCCTCAAATGTAGAAGTGGGTAGGGAACCTGACCTCATGGTGGGTTGATCCAAACTGCATGCCCTATGTGCGTATGCACGTGTGTGTGTGTGTGTGTGTGTGTGTGTGTGTGTGTGTGTGTGTTGCTGGTACTGGGGCTTGAACTCAGGGCTGCTGCTCTTACTTGGCTTTTACTCAAGGCTGGCACTCTGCCCCTTGAGTCATACTTTTACATCTGGCTTTTCCTGGTTAATCGGGGATAAGAGTCTCCCAGGTTTGTCTATCCAGATTGGCTTTGAACCACAGTCCTCAGATCTCAGCCTCCTGAGTAGCTGGGATTACAGGGGTGAGCCACCAGTGCCTGGCTGCTATGTGCTTTTTTTGGGGGGGAGATCCGGTTGTGGGGCCTGAACTCTAGGCCTGGGTGCTGTCCCTCAGCTCTTCAGCTCAAGGCTAGCGCTCTACCACTTGAGCCACAGCACCACTTCCAGCTTATTTTTTCTGCTTATGTGGTGCTGAGGAATCGAACCCAGGGCCTCATGCATGCAAGGCCAGTGCTCTACCACGGAGCCACCTGCTGTATGCTTTTTGAGATGTCTTTTCCAAGCCCCAGGGCTGAGGGCAGACTTGGCATAAGAGGAGGCCTTCAAGGAGCCACCACCCTGACCCCTCGTGGGGCCCGGATCTGGGGAACTTGGTGGTCCCCCACCCCTGGGAGGGACAGACTCCAGCCGCAGCTCAGAGACTGGCGTTCATCAGAGCACCTGCAGGCCAGCATTTCCACAGCACTGGCCATTCTACCCGGAAGAGACAAAGGGTGTAATCAGCATGCTCCAGTGGCCACAGCCAGCAGACTCAAGACGTGAGGTCAGCTAAGTCCATCCCCCTGGCTGACCGGGTGTTACGGGACTGCACCCGGCCCCTGCAGTGCCCTCCTGGTCCTGGGGGTCCCTCACTCCACCCTCGTGACTGTGTGAACCAGCACGTGAGATCTCTGCCACCGCCCCACGGCACAACCTGCCTTCAGCAGCCCCAGGATGCTGTCGGTGGCCTAGCGCCCCCGGCTGAGCCAGGGCACAAGGCTGTCGCTCCTGTGGCTCTGAGAGGGGCCTTGGGGCCCAGTCTGGACCGCAGCCCGGGGCGCTCTGTCTCTGTCTCCGATCCGAGCCCTCTCCTCTCACCACTAACCCCTCCTTGCACCCGGATGGCCCGTGCTAGAGGACCAGCAGGACCAGGATGGGGGTCTGGGCTCCCGGATGGCCCGTGCTAGAGGACCAGCAGGACCAGGATGGGGGTCTGGGCTCCCGGATGGCCTGTGCTAGAGGACCAGGCAGGACCAGGATGGGGGTCTGGGCTCCCGGATGGCCCGTGCTAGAGGACCAGCAGGACCAGGATGGGGGTCTGGGCTCCCGGATGGCCCGTGCTAGAGGACCAGGCAGGACCAGGATGGGGGTCTGGGCTCCCGGATGGCCCGTGCTAGAGGACCAGGCAGGACCAGGATGGGGGTCTGGGCTCCGGGGTGACCGTGAACTACAACCAGAATGCGTGTCGGAGCCAGAGGACTGTGGCGGCTGGTGGCTGAGCTGCAGCAGAGCTGCACGTGGGTCAGCTAAGGCTCCGGGTTCTGCAGACAGCAGGTGGAGCCGGCGGGGCTGGCCGCCTGAAGCAATCCAGGACAGGGACATCCTTGCTCTGGTCCGTGGCCAGGGCCTCTCTCCCCACCAGGCACCTGTGTGCTGTGTGTCTCTGCAGGAGTCTGCCTCCCTGCCTCACAAAGCCCACACACGGTAGCTGCCTGGCTGGGCTGGAGACTGTACATGGCCGCTTCCTAAGGGCAGCCAGGCTCCCACCAGAAGGAAGCGGGACAGGGTTGGCTCCTGCTCTGGGTCTTCAGGGGAGGGCAGGGGGGAGGCGGGGAAGGGGAAGGTGGGGGAAGCATGGAGCTGCTGGGCTCGCCCCAGACCCCCTGCAGTGCCAGGCCCGCTGCACCAGGCGCCAGGCGCCAGGCTCTGCCCTGCCCCCTTGCTGCCCGTGGGCCGCCCTCTTTCTGCCGAGTACCCACGGGGAGCTATTTAAAGCAGGCCTCTGTGACTGCCTTGGGCTCCCACGCAGCCGGGCCCACCCGGGCGGCAGCCTTCGCCTGGCTCCACAGCCAGCAAGCACTCGCTCCAGCCTGCAGACTGCTATTTCTGCCCACATATTACAGGGCAGGGGGAGGAAGGGAAGGACCGATGCTTCTCACACGCCAGCTTCTATTCTGGCGCAGATGACAGGAGCAGACTGAAGGCCAGGGGCAAACCCAGGTCTGCAGCTGAGGGGAGCAGGCAGTGGGGGTGGGGGTCACCCAGTGGGGAGGGGTGGCTCTGTGAGTGTGGGCGGAGCCGGGCCAGCTTTTCCCAGAGGCTGGGGCAGGGGGAAGGCCCCCAGCCAGGGGAGGCCCTAGCCTGTCCTGTGGAGGTGTGGAGGGGTGGACCAGCTCCACAGGCCCAGCGTCCCCCTCCTGCAGGGCAGCCAGCGCCGGGGTTGGTAGGCTGGGCCTCCCCCTGGGACTGGCTAGAGGCCATCACAAAGCACAGGGACCTGGAGGGTTTCAAACCTCTCCATCCTCCAGCTCTGGAAGCCGGCAGCTCTGAACCCAGGCGGCTCCAGGGTGTGCTGCGGGGCCCTCATTTCATCCCAGCTTTGTGGCTTTCTTTTCTTTATTTAGAACCCAGGGCCTTGCACCGCACCCCGGAGCTCTATTCCTGTCCCCTCCCCTCCCCTTCCCCGCCCTCCCCAGGGCCTCCCACTTGTTAGGCAGGGCTTCTACCGGTTAAACCACAGCTCGGCTCTCTCATTTATGTCTTATTTTTGAGGTAAAGTCTCTCTAACTTCACCTGGACTGGCTTTGAACTCCAGAGGCCTTCCAGGCTCCGCCTCTCTAGTAGCTGGGATTATAAGTGTGAGCTACCATATCCCATGTAGCCATTTAAAAATCAGACAAACAGGATCTTGGTCTGTCGCCCAGGCTGCCCTTAAGTTCTTTCTGCAGCTCCTGCTAGACTTGAACTCCCAGTCCTCCTGCTTCAGCTCCCCGAGGGCTGGGATTTCAGGCATGCACACCAGGCCCAGATTTCTCCTCACTTAGGCCTCTGTCATGCGACCTAAGACCACTCCATTCCAGCATGTCCCATCCTAACTAGTTTCATCTTCCAAGTAACATCACAGTCTCAGACTCGGGGCGCGTGTGCATTCTAGGGGGTGCTTCTCAGGTTGACCCCAGGAGAGCCATGGGGTAAGAAGGAGGGAGAGAAGAGGAAGGAGAAGATAGATACGTTCGTAGCCCTGAGTGCAGAGCTTTCTCCAGGGCTTTGCCCCTCGGGCCTGGCGGAGGCCGAGGCAGGGTGCTGGGAGTCTGGATCTGGCTGATCGGAAGGCCCTCAGGGTACCAGGGAGGGTGAAGGGCCCCAGACGGCACCAGGTCCTGCCAGTGGAGGGTAAGGCCCGGGGGCCAGGGGCCAGGATCCAGCCCGCTCCCGGGTCTGGGGGTGGGGGTGGGGGCTGCCGGGGCTTCCCAAGCTGAGTGAAGGACCCCGGGGCTTTGCTCTGACCAAGGAGTTAAATGAGTGTCCAGGCAGGAGCTCAGAGGGGAGCCAGGGCTTGGCCCCCTGCTGGGAGGGCCCCCTGGAGAGTTCAACAAGCCCAGGGTTCTTGCACCTCTCCCCAGCTTTTGTTCTGGGCGTGTACATGAGTGCTGGGGTTACAGGCATGAACCCCTGTGCCCGGGTCTCCCTTTCCCTCTCTCCGGGCCAGCCCGCAGCCCTGTGCCCCACCATGCATGGCCCCAGTTGGGTGTGGCCTCCTTGTCCCTCAGAGGCTTGGGGGCAGGGGCAGGTGCCAGCGTGCCCATGCCCTTGCTGTGCCATGGGCAGTGACGTCCTCTGTCTCTGGTCCAGGAGTCCTGTATCTTCTGGGCCCCTTGGGAGGCCTCAGGCCCCTCCCTGGGTGGCAGGTCCTCTGCTGCCCTGTCCGCTGTGGTGCTGGGCGGCCGCCCCATCGGTGCTGCTGACCCCCAGCACGCGGGTGCCGCTCCCTTCCTCTCCACTCCCAGACGGTGCAGTCTGGAGAGGTAAGAAGGGGAAGCAACTGGCGAGACATAAAACCTACTTCGGCCGGGCGCTGGTGGCTCACGCCTGTAATCCTAGCTACTCAGGAGGCTGAGATCTGAGGATCGCGGTTCAAAGCCAGCCCGGGCAGGAGAGACCATGAGACTCCTATCTCCAATAAACCACCGGAAAACCGGAAGTGGCGCTGTAGCTCAAGTGGTAGAGCGCCCGCCTTGAGCTGAAGAGCTGAGGGACAGCGCCCAGGCCCAGAGTTCAAGCCCCACGACCGACAAAAAAAAAAAAAAAAAAAAACCTACTTCGAACCACAGGCTCAGATGTTCTTGAGCTCATTTTTCACCCTGGATGCCTAGTAAATGAAGCTTGTGGAAAGACCCGGACACAGAAACAAACAGCAGCCATGCCTTCCTCTTCCACTCCAGTTCCACGGCTTCTGGTGATGCCTGCAGTCCAGGCCCCCAGGGCGGAGGCCTGCCTCCAGCAGGGCGCAACCTGCCCTTCTCACTAGGGTACCCAGGAGGCGGTGGGGCCTGTCTGGGGCTCCCAGTCAGGCCTGGAGCACCCGAAAGGTGTTCAAAATAACCCCTCCTGAGTGTTTGGCAAGAAGAGTGCAGAGCGCTGCACCTTCCGGTGCCCTCCATCCAGGGGCGCCCTCCATCCAGGGGTG